TTTACAGCGTAGTACAGGCCATAGTGCTCCCCATCACAACACACCTATTTGGCTTATGTTACAAACCCACTGAATCAGACAGGCTGCTGTGCTGCTCTACCTTAAGCCCCCCCGGCTGCTTGGCTGAGCTGGGAGATGGCTGGGAGTGTATTGTATTCAATGCTGACGCGCGTGTTTGTGTGTTTGTGTGTTTGTGTGTGTGTGTGTGTGTGTGTGTGTGTGTGTGTGTGTATGTGTGTGTGTTAGAACTGTCAAATCTGCAGCAACAGGAAATGCAAATTATTACCCAGCCAGTAAACAGTACAAATATCGTTTCTTCTTGGATATATAAAAAACAAAATGGTTTGAACGATTGCCTTTACTGTATGATTGTAGTGGTAAAACATTGAACATACTGTATTGTAGATTCACAATGATCACTTGTACTACTTTTGCAAATCTGTGAAGCTGTCATTCTACTTTGTTTCATTTGGTGTTTCATTTGACATTTGGAATAGAGAGGAGAGGAGAAGAGAGGAGAGGATAGATCTTAGAAGTAGAATAGAGTTTAGGGTGTGTGGAGAGATCCCTCCATATTCAGGGAGCCCAGTGAGCCTACTCAGTCGTAAATTATTATTATTAGATCTTTTTTAAACCCATTAGCGAATGTAAATAGTTTATTTTCTGTCAATTAAGATATGAATTATCCAATCTGTTTGGGCAAATTGATGTAATCTATTTCTGCACATTTGACTAAAAGAGGAAACAGTCTGTCAATCACAAGTGAACCACCCGCTGGGTTGGATTACATGGCCCTGAGCTCACATTTGAAGGACACAGCACAGGGTATGTCTGCCAGACCAGTTAACAGACTGTTTTCTCCAAAGCAACTTAAAGTACAGTGAGTGCATTCATTATTAGTATGGGTATGTGATCAATGTGGGATATTGACCCACATCCTTGGCGTTGCTAGCACATCACTTTTACCAACTGAGCCACCCAAGACCACAAAATGGCCGCCTTGACTTAACTGAGAGGCTGAGATGCCTTCTTCCTTTCATCAATATGATTCAGCCTGACAGTTAAAGACAAGACTACTGAGGGGTGCAGTCAGGTGTCCTCTGACAAACCCATTCATATTTAACATTTAGCAAATTGGTGCATTCAAATTCATAGACACTGAAATGCTGTAAATGGATTTCTATACATCATACGTAGATTCTCACAGAGTCAATAATAGCTACCTCACTAAGCCCAACCAACCTGAAGTAGTATAGACCTACTAAAAAGTTCCCTTAAAAGACCATGTAAAAAGACCATGTAAGGAACTCACTCATTGATAATGTAAAAGTACTTTTAGGTCGTAATGAAGAAGAAAAAACGTGTCTATACCAGGATGAATGAGTTAATATGTAGTCATTGTACTAGCTGAACATACTCCTTACAGCCCTCTGATAAAGTCCATCAATGGTATATTGAAGTATGTCCCATTTGCACAAAATATAGGATGGTGTAACAACAGGTCTGGTAGGCAGGGGCAGCAGCCAGCCAGCCATTCACTGAGACATAACCTGTCCATATGGTGCCGAGAATCTATGAATCTCATTCCCTCCATGCATGTGTTACCACCAAGACCTGGTGATGGAGGGGCATAACAGCATTCCTCGTATTCTGGTCTCTTCTCAGAACCTGCTGTGGTTGGAGAGTATAGGAGAGTTTAACACTCTGACTCTGTCTATGAATATGAATTAGAGATGAATATGTATACATGTTAAAATATTACCTGAAGATCAATCTAAAGATTAACTATTTTGTTTTGGACTTTTAATGAGAATTTATAATGGAAAGTTATTAATATAATTGGAGAAAAAATCCTTAGAGTTGATGTCCACGAGTCGATGTCCTGATCTTTCTTATAAAATGCTCAGATATAGGACAGACACTTTAAAACAAACTTCCTTTTGATCAGTGGTGTAAAGTACTTAAGTAAAAATACTTGAAAGTACTACTTAAGTTGTTTTTTCTGGGTATCTGTACTTTACTTTACTATTTATATTTTTGACAACTTTTACTTTTACTTCACTACATTCCTAAAGAAAATAATGTACTTTTTACTCCATACATTTTCCCTGACACCCTAAAGTACTCGTTACATTTTGTATACTTAGCAGGACATACTCCTGAGTGGCGCAGTGGTCTAAGGCACTGCATCGCAGTGCTAACTGTGCCACTAGATCCTGGTTCGAATCCAGGCTCTGTCGCAGCCGGCCGCGACCGGGAGACTCATGGGCGGCGCACAATTGGCCCAGCGTCGTCCAGGGTAGGGGAGGGAATGGCCGGCAGGGATGTAGCTCAGTTGATAGAGCATGGCGTTTGCAACGCCAGGGTTGTGGGTTCGATTCCCACGGGGGGCCAGTATATAAAAAAAATATATATATATATATGTATTCACTAACTGTAAGTCGCTCTGGATAAGAGCGTCTGCTAAATGACTAAGATGTAAATGTAAATGACAGGAAAATGGTCCCACTCACTTATCAAGAGAACATCCCTGGTCATCCTACTGCCTCTGATCTGGAGGACTCACTAAACACACATGCTTCATTTGTAAATTATTATTATTATTATTATTATGTGTTGCAGTGTGCCACTGGCTATCCGTACATTAAAATAACATGAAAATGGTTCCATCTGGTTTGCTTAATATAAGGAATTTGAAATTATCTATACTTTTACTTGTACTTTTGATACTTAAGTATATTTAAAACCAAATACTTTTAGACTTTTACTCAAGTAGTATTTTACTGGGTGACTTTCACTTTTACTTGAGTCATTTTCTATTAAGATATCTTTACTTTCACTCAAGTATGACAATTTAGTACTTTTTCCACCACTGCTTTTGATGTATTTTTTGTGTTTTTCCATGTATGAATCTCTGGCTTAGACTCTTAAGGATTAAGTCATTTTCAAATAAGAAGTGTCTATGGTTCATGGTAACGGTCTTATGATAGAAGTACAGTTTTGAACAGAGGTTGAGGACCTGAGTCCTGCCTCTGTTACAGATGAATGTACTCCTAAAAGCTCATCTACCCTCTCCATTGTTTATTTTCCCCCTCCATTAATTTCTATACTCTTTCATACATCCACACCACATGACAGACAGCCAACCATTCTCTACCATTGAACACTTTGGGAAGAACATTTTATTGCTGGGATTTGCCTGGAGTCAAAGGAGCAAAACACAGTTAAATAATGGGTTGAAAAGCAGTAATAACAACACAAAATCAAACTGAATGTAACACACCGACTTGAGACTTGCTTAGAATGCAAAATGAACAAGAAACAACAAAATAAATTAAGTAATATTTTTTTTTTTACTGCCAGCACAAATTGTCATAGAAATGTTAAGACTTCAACTGAAAACTGCACAATAAGGGGAGGAACATACATGTAAAAGAATACAACTGAAAGTAAGGAACCTAGACATCACAGTAAAAAAAAATCATCCTGTATCTTATTCTTAGTAAGGTGCCAGCACTGGGTCTCAAAAATCCATCAGATTCTTTATTATCAGGTTTCTCTTCTCTGTTTTATCTCAAATAAAAAACATAATAACAATCAAAGTAATCCAGAATCAGGAGGCCCAATATCAGTAAGGGCATTTTTCTATTTGACTGACATCTTCCAGTGGTAAAATATTCATGCATTTTAGAAACACCATCCAGAAAGTCTAGATTTTCTAACCTAACAATATTTTCCTCCTTTCGTTTACAAAAAAATACAAGTACGCTTTCTCCAGTCTTACCAAACATCAGAACAATTTGGGATTTTTGTCATTTAGTACACCGAGAAATGAAATCAGCTCAAATGATGTCTGTACAATGCAAAAAAAAACTCCAACGGAAACTCAAACGTTATGTACAATATTGACCTGCAAAATACAACGGCTATGATGTAATAAAATATGTTAACATATTTGTTGTTTTGACACAGTTGACTGTGACAACAGATACAAATTCAAAACTTTTCACATTGGATAAGTCTTCTTTAGCCACATTGTTTCAATATTTTACCAAAAACCCCACAGACATAATGACTTTACTTCCACAAACAGAATGTAACAAATAACTGAACCAGTGGTCTATGGAAAACTGAATTAACTGAAATAAAAATGCTATCATGGATCTAAAGTTCTGTAAAATATTTATTTAAAAAAACATTGCATTTTGCCTGGTGCATCCCCTCTAACATGGTAGAATACCATCTAGATCGAGAACATCATGCATAGCAGTCAAATCCATTTTTGAGACCGGGGGAAAAAAAAGCGAAATAATACATTGAAATGCATTGCAATACTACTATTCATTGAGCATTGCCTGGTCAGCCCTGACAATGTCTCATCCCTCAAAACGCATAGGTGGGTTTAAAAAAAGACACCTTAGCTACCACACACATACCTTACCTCATCCAACGCTAGGTATAGAAATGTACCATTTGTATGTTAATTATGTTTTGTCTTTCAAACTTAAACTTCAACCGACTCCTATCTTCAGGTCCCTCACTTATACAGATGCCAGCACCACGTCACATACATCTCACATGCATGTCATGGCCGAAATGATGGTTGTTTTGTTATTTTACAGGGTTACAATGGACAAGGTTGTTTACGCCAAGGATCACACATCTCTGACAGTCACTTGGGAGCGATGTAACAGCGAAATATCTTACACTGCCAAACCTCTGGCAACGTCTCCGGGCAGAGCTCAGTCATCTCGTCACAACAAGGTATCTTATAGTAGTTCCCCTATCAGCCTGTTTCTCTGTATGCTTACCATAGTAAGTGTGCTTTTAGGTCACAGTACATTTGAAAAATGTTCAACTTGGACTCATTCACTTAGAGTCCTTATGAGAGGATTTGTTTTCCGTTTTAAATTGCAGCTCCCAATATGGTACTGTCAAGTGTTCATTCATATTTTCTCCAAACAGTTAATTTTTTTGTGTTAGGAATGGTTGATTTATTTCTATACATAGTATTCTTTGTCCTTGTCTTTCGGTCTCTTGCCGCTGGATCCCTTGGCGCCACTGCCCCCGCTGGGCGCTTTGTCTTTCACCACGGTGCCGTTGGTCTGCGCCGAGTTGCTGATGTAATTCCGTGTCTCGTCTACCTGGTAGGAACCTTCGTCCCTGTTCCTGTACTTGTACATGGCATAGAGGAGGATGAGGATGCAGAGTGCCGCGGCCGAGACGATCCCCACCACCATGCCCGTTGTGCTGCTGGATTCTCGTATCACCTCAGAGGGCCCCGGGGGCACACGCCTCACGACGGGTGCGGTGGGTAACGCGGCGGGCACCGTACGCAGCATGGGTGAGGTGATGAGGGGCCCACGAGGCTTGGTGCCATCCAGGTCGAAGGACGCAGTGGGCAGAGGCAGCAGGACTATGTCCGGCTGCAGGGCTTTGATCACTTCGCGGTTGTCCATTTTCCCGGCGGGCAGTTTGGCTGGCGTGCTGTCTGATGGGAGGGACGCCTCCGCTACAGTGCCCCTGAGGTCGGGTAGAGGCGGGGTGGGTGTAGTCCTACCCGCCTCTGAGGCTTTACTAGGCCTCAAGTCCTTGGCCTCCCACTTGGGCGCGAGAGCGTTGTAGCCACCTTCATAGGCCGACGTGGTCAAGATCTTATCTGTTACCAGGGAGAAGGTGGTGTAAAAATCTTCATCGTCAGTAGGGGGCAGGCTAGAGTCGAAAGCTTCGCCAGAGCCAAACCCCGAAATCACCATGCCATCATAATCACCACCATCACCATCAAGACCATCATCACAATCATCGCTGCCTCGGTCCGACAAGCAAGGTACCCCCACCTCAGTGGCCATGGGCAGGGACTCTTTTGTGGTCTCGATAATGGTGAGGACAGGGCGGAGGGTTGGGGGGAGGGGGATGAAGGTGGAACGGGTGGAAACAGGAGGGATGTCTATGGGATCCTCTACAAGTACAGGGATGACTAACTCCCCTCCTGCAAACAGAAAAAGAAAAGAGCAGAGTTAGAAGAAATGCAAGACGATCTGAACAAAGACAATAGCTATTCAATCAAACACTGGAAAGTAATTATATAAAACATAAAACATAAAAAGCAAAGCGGAACAAAAAAATAAAATACTAATCTACAGAAAATTAAAATATATATAAAAAACTGAAAATACTATACCAGTGCAGATTCAATGAAACCAGAACCAACCAAACAAGACCATGAACTGAAAATAAACAATAGCCATAAAAAATGTATACATTGCATCAAAAGGCTGTAAGGGATGTGCAGGGGTGAGCCAAAATATCAAACAGGCATTTTAGCACACCTAACTACTACGCTTCAATAACAAGTGTACAGTCGTGGTCAAAAGTTTTGAGAATGACACAAATACTAATTTTCACAAAGTCTGCTGCCTCAGTTTTGATGATGGCAATTTGCATATACTCCAGAATGTCATGAAGAGTGATCAGATGAATTGTAATTAATTGCAAAGTCCCTCTTTGCAATGAAAATGAACTTAATCCCAAAAAAACATTTCCACTGCATTTCAGGCCTGCCACAAAAGGACCAGCTGCCATCATGTCAGTGATTCTCTCGTTAACACAGGTGAGAGTGTTGACAAGGACAAGGCTGGAGATCACTCTGTCATGCTGATTGAGTTAGAATAACAGACTGGAAGCTTTAAAAGGATGGCGGTGCTTGAAATCATTGTTCTTCCTCTGTTAACCATGGTTACCTGCAAGGAAACAGGTGCCGTCATCATTGCTTTGCACAAAAAAAGGCTTCAGAGGCAAGGATATTGCTGCTAGTAAGATTGCACCTAAATCAACCATTTATCGGATCATCAAGAACTTCAAGGAGAGAGGTTAAAATTGTTGTGAAGAAGGAGTCAGGGCGCCCAAGAAAGTCCAGCAAGTGCCAGGACCGTCTCCTAACGTTGATTCAGCTGCGGGATCGGGGCACCATCAGTGCAGAGCTTGCTCAGGAATGGCAGCAGGCAGGTGTGAGTGCATCTGCACGCACAGTGAGGCGAAGACTTTTGGAGGATGGCGTGGTGTCAAGAAGGGCAGCAACGAAGCCACTTCTCTCCAGGAAAAACATCAGGGACAGACTGATATTCTGCAAATGGTACAGGGATTGGACTGCTGAGGACTGGGGTAAAGTCATTTTCTCTGATGAATTGTTTGGGGCATCCGGAAAACACCTTGTCCAGAGAAGACAAGGTGAGCGCTACCATCAGTCCTGTGTCATGCCAACAGTAAAGCAACCTGAGACCATTCATGTGTTGCTTCTCAGCCAAGGGAGTGGGCTCACTTACAAATTTGCCTAAGAACACAGCCATGAATAAAGAATGGTACCAACACATCCTCCGAGAGCAACTTCTCCCAACCATCCAAAAACAGTTTGGTGACGACCAATGCCTTTTCCAGCATGATGGAGCACCTTGCCATAAGGCAAAATTGATAACTATGTGGCTCGGGGAACAAAACATCGACATTTTGGGTCCATGGCCAGGAAACTCCCCAGACCTTAATCCCATTGAAAACTTGTGGTCGATCCTCAAGAGGCAGGTGGACAAACAAAAACCCACAAATTCTGACAAACTCCAAGCATTTATTATGCAAGTATGGGCTGCCATCAGTCAGGATGTGGCCCAGAAGTTAATTGATAGCATGCCAGGGCGAATTGCAGAGGTCTTGAAGAAGAAGGGTCAACACTGCAAATATTGACTCTTTGTACAAACTTAATGTAATTGTCAATAAAAAGCCTTTGACACTTATGGAATGCTTGTAATTATACTTCAGTATACCATAGTAACATCTGACAAAAATATCTCATAACACTGAAGCAGCGAACTTTGTGAAGACCAATACTTGTGTCATTCTCAAAACTTTTGACCATGACTGTACTATTTTGTGAACGTTTTCACAGACAGAGATATAATTATCAGTGCTGGCTTTGTAGCTCTGGGACCTACACACCAGAGGGGTGTAACTATATTAATTATGTCTGGTCTAGTGTTGCTAATGTCTGGCTGTCTGGATACATGTACAGTAGCTACACAATATTGGACTGAGAAATAAGTTCTAACTTAACTTTTATCATACCTTTCAAGCTTATACCCGATAGGGGTATAATAAATTGAGACACTGACTTTCCTGCTTCCTAATATAAAACAATACATTATAAACATATAATGAGGATTTGTGTACAATCCAGTGTATTGTATTATTGACCAACAAAAATATGAATAATAATGGAGATAGAGGTCAACCTTGTCGGGTGCTTCTAGGGTGCAAGACCGGGCTCAACTTGTCATTACCATCTGTAGCTATTGTTAGGGTCTGATTGAATGAAACTGAGCTAAATATTCCTGATTTTCTCTATGTTGAGTTCAGTAGGCTCCCCCCACAGGCCCTAGCCCCTTGCCTTTTGAAAGCTCTTATACAATTACCACAATGGCACAAAGTCACCTGACAGTTCAACAACAACAGCTGAATGTACTGCTCACTTTTATCAGTATCAGTTACTATGTGTGTTCTTGACTAGTCTATCTATCTTTCTATTAACTTTTTTTGTCCTTTATTATATTATTTTACTATTAGGGTGGTTTCTAAAAACATACGAGTGTAACATTCAGATGTCGGTTGAATCTGCATAAACCTCTTGCCAAGGTGGCTAGCTTGTACACTGCAAAGGCTCATCACAAACAGGGCACTAAAAGAAGATGCAAAACTCTAATTTAAAAAAGGAAGAAATTAAAAAATAAAGACATTGCAAACACAGTTAAGACTGTCAAACTGAGAGTTAGAGCAAACATTGTCAACATTCACAAACTAAACGCACAGATAGATTTATCCAAAGAGGGATTAGTACGTAGAAAGAGATACAATAATTTCTGCTTCAAAAATCATAAAAAGCCTATGAAAAATTGTTTTCAAAAAGAAGAAAAGTATACCATCAATTCTGTCAACTTACATCAACAAATTGCCCGCATGATTTTGGCAGGAAGAAAAAAGTGTACAAAAGAAAGTTGTGTAAGAATGTTTTTGGACAAGTTAGGTTAGTTTCTTTTTAAAAATGTTGATGAATTTTAGTTAATTATCTTTTAGACAGGATGGTACAGGGAAGGAACAACACACATCCACACATCATGACATGAAAAATAATCTTCACCATTCTGTTCAGGATTTTTTTTTTTTTATAGTCATATTTGTTTTCATAAGAAAGAAAACTGTACATCTATAGATACGTCTTGGCTGTGAGAGATAAGCTCCTTTTACGTAGTTATTTTTTTCCTCCTTTTTTTTCTTGACTTTAACTTTAACTTTGTTGTTCAATAGTTTTGAACGAATGGATGACTGTACATATCTTAACATCTCTACGTAAAGGTGGGTGGGGTGGGGGGGGGGGGGGATGTAAGAGAGGGGTGGGACCTAGGAACATACTAGGTAGGAAATGACATAGATGGGGGTGTACGTCAGTTGCCATGTCCATGTAAAGGTGGCACGAAGCGGCCGGGCGGCATTAGAGCTTTTGGCTGTAAGGAAGGGACGGGGACATACAAACCATGAGCATATACATGCCCATCTACAAAAGAGAACAGCACTTTCAACACTGACAGTTTTCTTACAAACCCTAAGCTGCAACTTCTTTCTTTGCCATGCAGAATTAATCAATGAATTCATTATAATCCAAATGCAATCAAAATTGCTAATTGAATAACATGAAAAATATATCAGTGTAAGAACAGGTTTGAAACATGTTGAAACAAATAAAGTAGTGAGGACAGTTGTATTTTAGAGTTTTCTTCTAGTTTTTTCTCAATTAAATTTTGAATTTTGAATCGTATACTGGGTCATGTGTTTGGGGTAGCCAATCAGAGCTGTGTATTTCAACCACAGTTAACCAATCAAAATCATTAGTAAAAAGGAAGAAAAGTACTAATTAGGAATAAGTCACCATACCATTATCAATAGTACTTCTAAGCAAATCATCAGATTGTTAAAGAGGTAATTTTGAGCAATTTCAGTAATTAACATAGATATCCACATATATAGTGGGGAAAAAAGTATTTAGTCAGCCACCAATTGTGCAAGTTCTCCCACTTAAAAAGATGAGAGAGGCCTGTAATTTTCATCATAGGTACATGTCAACTATGACAGACAAATTCAGAAAGAAAATCCAGAAAATCACATTGTAGGACTTTTAATGAATTTATTTGCAAATTATGGTGGAAAATAAGTATTTGGTCACCTACAAACACGCAAGATTTCTGGCTCTTACAGACCTGTAACTTCTTCTTTAAGAGGCTCCTCTGTCCTCCACTCATTACCTGTATTAATGGCACCTGTTTGAACTTGTTATCAGTATAAAAGACACCTGTCAACAACCTCAAACAGTCACACTCCAAACTCCACTATGGTCAAGACCAAAGAGCTGTCAAAGGACACCAGAAACAAAATTGTAGACCTGCACCAGGCTGGGAAGACTGAATCTGCAATAGGTAAGCAGCTTGGTTTGAAGAAATCAACTGTGGGAGCAATTATTAGGAAATGGAAGACATACAAGACCACTGATAATCTCCCTCGATCTGGGGCTCCACGCAAGATCTCACCCTGTGGGGTCAAAATGATCACAAGAACGGTGAGCAAAAATCCCAGAACCACACGGGGGGACCTAGTGAATGACCTGCAGAGAGCTGGGACCAAAGTAACAAAGCCTACCATCAGTAACACACTACGCCGCCAGGGACTCAAATCCTGCAGTGCCAGGCGTGTCCCCCTGCTTAAGCCAGTACATGTCCAGGCCCATCTGAAGTTTGCTAGAGTGCATTTGGATGATCCAGAAGAGGATTGGGAGAATGTCATATGGTTAGATGAAACCAAAATATAACTTTTTGATAAAACTCAACTCGTCGTGTTTGGAGGACAAAGAATGCTGAGTTGCATCCAAAGAACACCATACCTACTGTGAAGCATGGGGGTGGAAACATCATGCTTTGGGGCTGTTTTTCTGCAAAGGGACCAGGACGACTGATCCGTGTAAAGAAAAGAATGAATGGGGCCATGTATCGTGAGATTTTGAGTGAAAACCTCCTTCCATCAGCAAGGGCATTGAAGATGAAACGTGGCTGGGTCTTTCAGCATGACAATGATCCCAAACACACCGCCCGGGCAACGAAGGAGTGACTTCGTAAGAAGCATTTCAAGGTCCTGGAGTGGCCTAGCCAGTCTCCAGATCTCAACCCCATAGAAAATCTTTGGAGAGTTGAAAGTCCGTGTTGCCCAGCGACAGCCCCAAAACATCACTGCTCTAGAGGAGATCTGCATGGAGGAATGGGCCAAAATACCAGCAATAGTGTGTGAAAACCTTGTGAAGACTTACAGAAAACGTTTGACCTGTGTCATTGCCAACAAAGGGTATATAACAAAGTATTGAGAAACTTTTGTTATTGACCAAATACTTATTTTCCACCATAATTTGCAAATAAATTCATTAAAAATCGTACAATGTGATTTTCTGGATTTTTTTCCTCATTTTGTCTGTCATAGTTGACGTGTACCTATGATGAAAATTACAAGCCTCTCTCATCTTTTTAAGTGGGAGAACTTGCACAATTGATGGCTGACTAAATACTTTTTTCCCCACTGTATGTATATTTACATATATGTACAAACAGACAAATAAATAAAATAAAATTGGCAAGCATAGAAATTAAAAGCATTAAAATTCTCACACTATCAAAGATGAACAACCAGAAAGCACACACTGAAGCAGACAGAGAAGAGGGACAGTTCGTAAGGGAAGTTGTCACCACCTTCATGTAGTAACTAATAATAATAACATTATTATTAGTTAATTCTTTATGAAATACATATGTGTTGTTAGTCATTTTAAAACACAGAACAGGCGTGCAATCTGGATGTACTTCAGAGAGAGGTAAGGTAAATATTGGACATAGGATACTTTAGTTGTTTTTACTATTAGGTTCATGGTTAATGCATGCTTTAAGTAAGTTGCATTTAGGGAGAGTAATATACAGTAACAATACAGCAAGCTGGGGTCAATGGGTCAGGATGGGATTAAATGTCACTAGAGGTCATTGTATCAAGGGCTGTAGGGCATATTGCTTCAGGCAAAGAACCATATATTATTATCAGACATCAACCATTGGGGAGGAAGAGGAAACACCATTGGTGATACACAACCCACATTATGTGGTGTAGACTTTACCTAATTGATCACATTTTCAAATTCACAGAATTAACGTCTACTTTTTGTAAATGTGTAGTTCAGTTTTATGTTAACGCATAACCAACAGCCTTCGCTTGACAGATACACACAGTGTTCAGAGGAAGTTCCACAAGAGGGCTCAAGAAGTTGGGGCTATCCATGCCCCCATGGGGATCTGACAAGGAGTTCGGGCTATCCATGCCCCCATGGGGACGTAACAAGAACATTTACTTTTAGATCTAAAGTCCTGGTTCCTCTGCTTTGGGCTCTGGAATAGTCCTGTGAAACACGTGATTGTATTGTATTGTGTGCTTAGGCTAATAACTATGAAAGAGCTGTAGTATCTACTGGTTGGTACTTGCTTTGGAACAACCTCCGACCCCGGATCACCACCAAGCCGAGGTGTGTAGTCTACAGACAATGTGGTCTGCTCTACACTCAAATTCAGCATCCCTGTTCCTATTGTGTGGCTATGGGAATGTTTTCATCGGGCATCGGCTACCTGCCCTGTTAGATAAACAGAAGCGTCGCTCACTAAGTGATTTCAGAGAGGAGGAGGGTCTACTTATCTCTGACTGCCCTGTATCGTCTTGTTTGCATCCATCCGCTCGCTCCTTCATTCCTGAACGTCTAAAAGCTTTTGGCAATTGTTAGCTTTCCAGCTAGATCAACAAAACCTTTGCATCCCATCCGATCCAAAGGGAGCTGCCTGGTTGTGACAGGGTGTGTGTGTGTGTGTGTGTGTTTGAGATAGAGAGAGAGAGAGAGAGAGAGGGGTTCAAGGAAGAAAATGTAAACACTTTCATCCTTGAATGTTAGCTCTCATACCAGCGTTGCACATTTCAGTGTTCCACCTCAGTGCAAACACTGCACATTCTAATGGGTTTGCTTAACGAGACGCTGTTTGTTTTATTTTCTCTGCTAATGTCAAGATAGAGGGGCTTTGTGGACTAATGTGAAGATGGAGGGGCTTTGTGGACTAATATGAAGATGGAGGGGCTTTGTGGACTAATGTGAGATGGAGGGGCTTTGTGGACTAATGTGAAGATGGAGGGGCTTTGTGGACTAATGTGAAGATGGAGG